AGCCATCGGTATCGGTGATACGAGCTATATTCGCTTCGTTCTCGATTTTGATTTTTTTATTAAAGATGGTGCGAAAAAAGTAGCTCTTTCGTAAATCACTTAGACAGTTCAAGATTGAAATTGATAATTTAGCAGTGAATCTTTTGAAAAATTAAAAAAAATGAGAAAACCGTTCAAACCATCAGTTTTTTAAAGAACCGCAGTCAACTGCCAGTTTGATGAAAACTATGCGAGATGGGAATAATGAGACCGAAATAAATTTTATATAATATTTTTATGCACTTTTTCCAAAACAATCGCTATGTGCCTGATATTTGTAAATAGTCATTTTTACACTTATCAGAAACAAATTTTACGTGAAAACAAACTTTAATGAAATATACGACGAAACTATATATAGCTCAAGAAAATCGCTTCAATTGTTGAAAAAATATTCAAGTTTCTTTTTCAATCGCCATTCTACGTTGGCACAGAAAATGTCAGCAGTACACACTGTTTTTCCAAATAAATTAGTAAAATTAAGTACTTGATCTCATACAATAAGATAAACTACAGAGCACTTCAGAATATTTTTCTATGATCTTAATTTGAGATCTACTATTGATGCGAGGACTGACTTTCTCGGAGGGTGTAATTCTGATATAGCATGCAATAAAATCTAGAGTTATTGTTTATCATAATCAAAATAAATCGAACAAAACTTATATGGAGGCACACGTCTAGTACTCACCGTAAATGCAAAAAGATTCAGAAGCAGAACGAAAGTAGCTTCTATGCTTTCATTTCACAAAAATGACGGAAAAAAACTGAAAAAGATTTTTCCAACAGTCAAATAACAGCTAATTCTTTTTATCATAAAGCATGACCGAAAAAGAGGTGAATCAGTAACCCTTACAAGCGTTATATGAGAGTAGATTTAAATGACCGAATGGCATGCAAGCTATTCGAAAACTCTACAGAACCTCATAGAATAGATTCATACATAACAGCAGGATTCTTAAATAGCAAAAAACTACGTTTTTATTGCTGAGAATGAGCTGTTGTCGTAGATTTAATAAAAGCATAAGTTTTTCCGAAGATGCAGCCAAACAGAAAGAAACTAACTGATATATTGTCAATCAAGGCCTCCCGGAAAAATAGCTAAAGCAATATTTCGATATTATTCGAAAAGATATATACAGAGGAGAGAAGAGTAATTTGCCAATCCAGAAAAACCTAATTGATGAGGTCTTTTTCAGGTGTCATAACTTATGCAATGTTCGCCCATTGCAGCCGGAGACACTATCGGTATATTTTAAATGTTACTCGTAGTACCGATAACAGTAAAGAATCGAGCTGTTTCTTTCTGACACTTGACAAATTTTTTCGGATGTCAGTTCACAAATGGCGGCTACCCGAAGAAAATTTTTTCATATGTTTGAAGGTAATCATCTCTTTTCTCTCGATCTACCAATTGATATGATCTACACTTTTCGCGGTAACCGTTATCTTCGATGTTTATTTATAGACATTATTGAAACTATAAACTCGATCATTTGATTTTACTGCTACCTTAATGTTATTGAACAGAGTATCCAAAATAATAGCAACTCAAGAAGAGAGGTGAAGAAACAGAAATTTTCATAGACTATTTCATCTCAAAGAGGCATAGTTTCATCAAAAAGTTATCAGTTCATAATTTTCTGATATCGAACAAACGGATTTCATCCGAATCTGTTCAAACATAGACAAAACCGGATAAAGCTTGCATAGACAATATCCGTAGTCTTCTGTAATAAGCCCACATAAAATCTCACATTTTTCCACGAAGAAAAACTTTCTACGTCGGAATAATTTAATATAGTTTTCTTTCGAAACTAAACTCACTTTGATAACTTTTTTTTTTAAATGTTGAAAAGAGAACGGAACAACTTCGATGTGCTTTTTATATATACAGGGTGATTGAAAAGTAACTAGCTATTTTAAATTCTTTATTACTCTCATACAACAAAAGATATCGTCCTGATTTTTTCACCATCTTGAAGCATGGACTATGCCATTTTGTTCTAGATGAAATAAGTCGATTGATTATCTGACTGTCTAAGATGAAGCACGAAGTTAGTTTAAAATACATGAAAATGACTTTTTATTTTGAATCTATTACCAAAGTATCTTTGTAGTAATAGTTACAAGTTCCATTACAAAAATGTATCGACAACAAAGGAGGTTATGTGGAATTTTGAGGCATTGCATATTACGAAACTAGATACACTTCAAAACAGTAAAAAAAAGTTGTTATTGTATCTGTTTTCCTATAAGAATAATAAACTGCTTAAAAGATGAATCATTTTCATGTCTTTTAAACCAACTTCGTGCTTCATCTTAGACAGTCAGATAATCAATCGACTTATTTCATCTAGAACAAAATGGCATAGTCCATGCTTCAAGATGGTGAAAAAATCAGGACGATATCTTTTGTTGTATGAGAGTAATAAAGAATTTAAAATAGCTAGTTACTTTTCAATCACCCTGTAGAAATTTTACGAAAGTTTTATTTCTCCAATTAACAATTCTAAAAATGGTGATTGCGGTGTCTTGATCAAGGTTCGACGGATCTGAAATTCTGTAAGAGACTGTTTTAAAAAATATTGTTAGAAAACCTGTTGCAAGTCTTCCATCTGAAACTATTCATGCAAGAGAATTGAGAACAGAAGAAATATATGTGTATCAATTTTGATAAAAATCAACAAAAACTAAATAAGCGGTAGCTTTGATAAGCGTTTTAATATGCTGTAGTATGCGCACAGCGTTTTGATCGGGTATAACTTTGTCGTCAAATAACTTGTGCAGTTTTCTCAACATATCAAACACATTTATTTAATAGTTGAAAAATTGTTGAAATGGCACAGAAAAGTTATATTTTAATACGTATAGTGATTGGATGGATTAAATAGAAATACCGCAGGAACAGTTTTCTGCAGAATCTTTCCATATTTAGAGATATATTTATATGCTCATGTCAGATATGTGTTCATCCTTAACTGCGGTCTCCTTGTAGATTGAAATGGCTCCTATGGATGGTAACGCTAAGGTGATCAAATACGCGCCTGGTAGGAACACTGCTTTTGACCATGCAAACGAGGAGCCAAGATCAATTCCAAACGCTAAAAATGCAACAAACGACGGGAATAATACTATCAATCGAACAAAAAATTACACGTTTCGACAGAATATGTATGACTTTTTCTTTTGATGTAAAAAAATTATCGTTGTTGCTCTTTTCTAGGAAATATTTCTACTGGTCAATGCTGGGTTTCATACCCAAACCTATCTTTATGTTGCCTATGATTGCAAGTATACTTACGATCATAGGTATACTGGTAATTTGTTTTACCGCACCAAAATCACCAGGTACGTACTTGTTGGTTTGCATTCTTCGTATTCAATAAGATAATATTCCATAATTAATGCGGTTCTGTTTTACTAATATTGTGAGTTTTGGTTTAAAAAACTCTAATTGTAATAAAATATTTGATATCGACATGTTTAAAGCAAATCATCAAGCGAGAACAGAATTATTAGCATTACAACTGCTTCACTTTTTCATTTCAGATTAGCAGTGACGGATGCGAGCCAATCAAAGTGAATATCGCTAGTAGATTGAATGCTTTTTTCATAAGTCGGATCCCTTCATTTTACTTATTGGTAGTGACTATCAGTTAGAAAAGAATTTCAGAAAGAATCTTCCCAATACTGCTTTGTTCTAAAGAAAGCAGAATAATAAGTTTCTCTAGAATAGAGATTATTGCGTTTTCTATATTTTTTTCCACACATCGATAAAACAGAAATTTCACAATCTGATTTTTTACAAGTTGATGTTACACATTCGTACTTGTTGCAGAAAGATCTATCTTACCGAATTCAATGCGCTTGAATCACTTTTTCTATTATTTTTGGTGGTATTCTTTCACATCTCTGAATGGAAACAGCACCTTATCCTGGATGCCTCTTTCTCTATCTCATCAACATATTTTGCGATATAGTAGAAGTGCGAAAGAATAATAGAAAATACAGGCGATTTTCTCATGGAACGTGACGAGAGTAGATACTTCTCCTTCACAGAACATATCTTTAAATTTTCTCACTTTATATTACTTGCAGACGAGAGTAAGTAGTATATGTGTTCCATTTATAGCTTCTTTCGTTCTGCTAGTATGCTTACATACAATCGTTTTACTTTTGTCTTTCTGTATGACTCATGTATGTTCTATGTTATATTTACCACTGAGTTCTCATATCTTTATCATATTCTAGTGAATTATTTTCGTTACCATGATGCAAAAGAGTAAAATTTTGTATACACATTATAAAAGTGAGAAAAATATTTATCACTATTTGTGATTGAAAAGATCAATAGAAATCATTGATTACTCACTGTACGAAAAGTAGTAGAGATAACTAGTTGCATGCTTGTCACTCAAAAACTATCGGTGAACATGCGTTATCCATATGACGGAATTACTGACAAATACACTAATTATGGTAGGTCGTCTTCATGCATGATTAGTCAGTCTGTAGATTCACATTCGCACCTCGAGTGTCACAATTTTGTTCATTGTTATTCTCAAGCATTCGTAGCAGACTTAGTTATATTATGTTTGTTAGTCTAAATTACTAATCTAAAATACTGATCGGATCACTGAGAGCATTACACAACAGAACAGCTTTGATATTCGTTTGATTCTGAAATAGTGTGGCACAACGCAGTTTTTGAATGAATTCTGCAGTAAATGAGAACATGATAAGAGATAAGACGCTTGGTTGAAGAATTTCCATATTTAACTTTATCTGAATTCCAAGAAACTAAGCAGAGTTCCTTTGAAAGATGACGGTTATACACTGTCCCTAAATAGGGTCATATGGTAACTACTGACAAAATAGGATAGTAATTGTAATACTTCAAAACAACCTAGGACGAATAGTTCTACTGGAGTAAACAATCAGTCATCGCATTCTTGTTCATGTATCGTTTAGTTCCAAAGTGCGGTCTCAATTTCAAAGCAACGGCTCAAAAGCCAATTGAATATAATTATGGTCCACGATCTGTCGCCATCAGCGATTTCGATAATGACTCCGTTTTGGATATGGTTATTGCCAATCATATAGCCAATAACATAGCGGTGTATTTGGGAAATGGTGACGGCAGTTTTCGAAATCCAATCATATATTCAACAGGTTCCTACTCTAGCCCATACATGGTCACAGTTGCTGATTTCAACAATGACAACAGATTGGATATTGCAGTAGCGAATTTCGGCACTAACAATATCGCGATCTTTCATGGATTTGGGAATGGATCTTTTGCAAGTCAAATAGAACTTTCAACAGGTCCATCTCGTCCGATAGCAATTATTGCCGTTGATTTCAACAATGACTCACTACTTGCTATTGCCACTGCGAATTACGGAACTCACAGTGTTAGTATATTCTATGGATATGACCATGAAAATTTTTCGCCTCCAATTACGTATTCAGCAGGTTATGATTCTTTTCCATCCTCATTAGCTGCTGGAGATTTCAATAATGACAACTATTTAGATCTCGCCATCGCCAATTATGGAACGAATAATGTTGGCGTACTTTTTGGAAATAGTAACAGAACTTTTGAAAACCAAATCACGTTTTCAACTGGACTTGGTTCCCATCCATACTCAATTGCGGTCGGCCATTTCCATACCGACAATTTCCTGGATATCCTTATCGCGAATTCCGGAACTCGCGAAATAGGTTTACTATTAAACAGCGGCAATGGAACTTTCGCTAATCAAGTCATCTATTCCAATGGTTCTGCTTCTCCATATGCGATTGCCGTCGTCGACTTCAATCAATATAATCAATTAGACATCGTCATCACTAATAATGGCATTGAAAATATAGGTGTACTTGTTGAATATGAAAACGGCCATTTTGAAAATCGAATTATGTATTCAACTGGATCTACTTCTTCGATTTCTGTCGCCATTGGTGATCTAAATAAGGACCATCGATTAGATATTGTCGTTGTAAACAATGATACTGGTTCCATAGAGATTCTCGTTGGGTGTTACGAGGGCTTTCAAACTCAAACAAGATATTCAGCTGGCACTTGGCCACACTCTGTAGTTGTTGGTGATTTTAACAATGACACTCGACTAGATATCGTTGTCGCCAATTATGATAGCAATGATGTGAGTGTCCTTCTGGGAAATGGAAATGGTTCTTTTGAAAATCAAACAAGGTATTCAGCTGGCTCTTCTCCACAATCTGTCGTTGTTGGTGATTTCAACAACGATACTCGACTCGATATCGTTGTCACCAATGGGAATAGCAATGATGTGAGTGTCCTTCTTGGAAATGGAAATGGTTCTTTTGAAAATCAAACAAGGTATTCAGCTGGCTCTTGGCCACAATCTGTCGTTTTTGGTGATTTCAACAACGACAGTCGACTAGATATCGTTGTCGCCAATCAGGTTAGCAATGATGTGAGTGTCCTTCTTGGAAAAGGAAATGGTTCTTTTGGAAATGAAACAAGGTATTCAGCTGGCTCTTTTCCACGATCTGTAGCTGTTGGTGATTTCAATAACGACACTCGACTAGATATCGTTGTCGCCAATTATGGTAGCAATGATGTGAGTGTCCTTCTTGGAAATGGAAATGGTTCTTTTGAAAATCAAAGAAGGTATTCAACTAGCTTTGGGCCACAATCTGTAGTTGTTGGTGATTTCAACAATGACACTCGACTAGATATCGTTGTCGCTAATGGGAATGGCAATGATGTGAGTGTCCTTCTTGGAAATGGAAATGGTTCTTTTGAAAATCAAATAAGTTATTCAGCTGGCTCTTTTCCACAGTCTGTAGTTGTTGGTGATTTCAACAATGACACTCGACTAGATATCGTTGTCGCTAATGGGAATGGCAATGATGTGAGTGTCCTTCTTGGAGTTGGAAATGGTTCTTTTGAAAATCAAACAAGGTATTCAGCTGGCTCTTTTCCACGATCTGTAGTTGTTGGTGATTTCAACAACGACACTCGACTAGATATCGTTGTCGCCAATATGGATAGCGATTATGTGAGTATCCTGCTGCAATATAATAGAGGAGCGATAGCATATAAAATGGCGTATGCATCTGGCGGTGGATCTAGCGTACAAAGCGTAGTGATCGGGGATTTGAACAACGATACTAATCTGGATATTGTCTTAGCTAATTATGGCACTAATAATATCGGCGTCCTTGTCGGATATGGAAATGGTAGTTTTGAAAACCAAATGATGTTCAGCACTGGCGCAAATTCTCATCCGATTTCCATTGCGATTGGGGACTTCAATGGCGACCGCGTAGTGGATATTGCTGTAGCCAATCATGGTACCAAGCATGTAGATATGATGCTTGGAAATGAAAATGGTGAATTTGCAATGCAAACAAGTTATGAAATTGGTTTTGATTCACCTCCAATAGTTATGGCTGCTGGTGATTTTAATAATGACAAACAATCGGAGATCGTGATCGCTAACGGTGGAAGTAATCATTTGGATATCTTTGTTGCGTACAATCATGGTTCTTTTGAAGATCAAAAAAGGTATTCAGTTGGCTCTTATCCACGATCTGTAGTTGTTGGTGATTTCAACAACGACAGTCGACTAGATATCGTTGTCGCCAATTGGAATAGCAATGATGTGAGTGTTCTTCTTGGAGTTGGAAATGGTTCTTTTGAAAATGAAATAAGTTATTCAGCTGGCTCTTCTCCACAATCTGTAGTTGTTGGTGATTTGAACAACGACAGACGACTAGATATCGTTGTCGCCAATTGGAATAGCAATGATGTGAGTGTCCTTCTTGGAGTTGGAAATGGTTCTTTTGAAAATCAAATAAGATATTCAGTTGGCTATTATCCAGGATCTGTAGTTGTTGGTGATTTCAACAACGACAGTCGACTAGATATCGTTGTCGCCAATTGGGGTAACAATGATGTGAGTGTCCTTCTTGGAAATGGAAATGGTTCTTTTGAAGATCAAAAAAGGTATTCAGCTGGCTCTTATCCACGATCAGTAACTGTTGGTGATTTCAATAACGACAGTCGACTAGATATTGTTGTCGCCAATGAGATTAGCAATGATGTGAGTGTCCTTCTTGGAGTTGAAAATGGTTCTTTTGAAAATCAAAGAAAGTATTCAGCTGGCATGGGGCCACAATCTGTAGTTGTTGACAATTTCAACAATGACACTCGACTAGATATCATTGTCGTCAATTGGGGTAGCCATGATGTGAGTGTCCTTCTTGGAAATGGAAATGGTTCTTTTGAAAATGAAATAAGGTATGCAGTTGGCTTTTATCCAGAATCTGTAGTTGTTGGTGATTTCAACAATGACACTCGACTAGATATCGTTGTCACCAATTCGAAAAGCAATGATGTGAGTGTCCTTCTTGGAAATGGAAATGGGTCTTTTGAAAATCAAACAAGGTATTCAGTTGGCTCTTATCCACGATCTGTAGTTGTTGGTGATTTCAACAATGACACTCGACTGGATATCGTTGTCACCAATTCGAATAGCAATGATATGAGTGTCCTTCTTGGCTATAAAAATATAGTTTTTGTAAAGCAAATGATACTGATAACTGGAAATGATTCTCGACCACAATCTTTAGTAATTAGCGATTTTAATAATGATGGGCTGATGGATATCGGCGTCGTCAATTCACTTACTCACAATATTGGTATTTTTCTTGGATATGGTAATATATCTTTTACAAATCAAGTAATATATTCCACTGACCCATATTTATCTCCATGCTCTCTGGCTGTTGGTGATTTCAACAATGATACTCGAGTGGATATTGCTTTTGGTAGTTGTCACTCGAATAATGTTGGCATTTTGCTTGGATGTGGCAACGGATCTTTTGGAGATCTAATGGCGTATTCAACAGGTTCAAATTCGTCTCGATACTCTTTAGCTGTAAGTGATATTAACAACGACACTATACAAGATATTATCGTCGCAAATCATGATGCCAATTATCTAGGCGTACTTCTTGGACATGGCAATGGCACATTTGCAAGTATCATCTTATTTCCGTTGGACTATGGATCCAATCCATTCTCTATTGTCGTTGGAGACTTCAACAATGACAGAAAACTAGATATTGCCGTCGCTAATAGTGGTACTGACAGTTTAAATATTCTCTTGCAGACTTGTTAGTTTTTCTATCTCGTAGTTTATATTTTTCTATCACTCACTTATTTCGTATGGTCTTATATCTAGAAGAACCATAGTTTAAATATTGAAATGATTTTAACTGCAAAAGATGAGTGTGGAAAAGGTGTGGGTGTGGGTGAGTATGGGTCTGTGTGTGTGGATGTGGGCACGAAGTCGAGAATAATACATTCACACCCAGGGTGTGGATGTGTTTATTCCATTGTGAAATGTTTCAAGGAAAGTCATACGACATGTTTCGATCCTTCCGAGGCGGATCATCATCAGATATGTTTAGAAACATTATAGCTATATAGTAGAATTTTAGTCATGTTCCATATGTACAAAAATAGGGTGTGAGTGTGGGTATAGGATGTGGGTGTGCGTGTGGATGTGGGTGTGGGTGTGGGTGTGGGTGTGGGTGTGTGGGTGTGGATGTGTGCATATAGGTGTGAGTATTCTTCATCGACACACCAACCCCCGCAGCCACATCCACACCCAGATAAATCTGTAGTACCATGAAGAAAATTTGCGTTGTGAAAAAATGAGTAAGGAAAGAAAACAGTTGGTTAATAATTATCTATAATAATTGTTGAAAAAGGTGAAAGATTTACTAGGTTCAATTCAAAATCATGTTTTGCACTGCAACGACAGTACCTCTTCTCAGTTGCCGATTGTCACAGAAGAAACAATCTCAACATGAACTCCTAGTATTCCAGCCATGTTCAACGTGCAAATCACGGCTTTTCAAGGTATATGAAGTAAAATTATGATAAAGATTCTTTTTGAAAAAAAAAGTTCCTTTTTTTCTATCGAAATTCAGCATCATATGACTGCATGAATAAGGATTTAGATATCTTCCAAGTAACATGTTCTGTAAATAAAATTTTTTCATGAAAAAACCTTAATAGAAGTTTACACATGATATATATCATTTAAGAATATATCAACAAAACTGCAACATGACTACTCAAAACAAATGTCAAATGCTGGAGTCAGTGAAGGTGATACAGTTTAATAAGTCAAAATTGGATTAATCAATTGAGATCTAGCTGATGATAAAAACTACAAGTATGATGATGATGAATTACATTATCAAGATACTTGTGTTCCAAATCAGAAGTTTGTTTTACCATATCCAGGGTCGCACCAGGGGGTACCAAGAAGAAGGATTTTGAGAAGGATTTTTTCAAAAAAAAAGAAGAAAATTGGAACAAAAGAAGGAAAGAAAGGAAAAGAAGGAATTTTTCCGGAGTACTGAGCTGCAACAAATAAATTGTATACGATGTCCAATAAGAAACGATAGGACTTAGTTCAGACGAGTAAAATTATTTTCGAATTATTATTTGTTCACGTTGCAAGACCATTCTCTCGGTTTTATAGCGAATACGAACAGAGAAGGAATTTCAAAGACGAACAGTTGTCTCCTTGGTCATGCAATCTGTGTGCATGTTGTTGTCATCCTCATTTCTTAATGACTCTCTCGGTAGTTTTATAGGGAAGAAGTCCAAAGTCATCTCTGAAATTGATTGACCGACTTAATTTGCGTAGAAAGTTGAACGTTAATTTTGAGTGGAATTGAAATTAACTTACACGTACCACCCCCATTCTCGTTCACAAGCGCCGTCACTGCGTACTACTGAATGTCGGTTGCCTTTCTGC